GGTACTATCCTAAGTCGGATGTAAGGGATGACTTAGATTTCATATCATACTCACTAGAAGGGTGCAGTTAATATCACTGGGACAATGAAAGCCTTGTGCACCCCCCAAAAAAAATCTACCCCTGATTCCCACTGGCTACTGCCTGGAACATTAATAATAATAATAACATTTATATAGCATTGTAAGGTTTGAAAAGCATTTTACAAACATTAACCCATTCACAACCCTGAGAGGTAGGAGTTATTATTATCCCCATTTTGCAGATGAGGAAACTGAGGTAGGCAGAGGGTGACTTGCCCAGAATCACACACAGCTAGTAAGTGTTTGAGGCAGGATGAGAACTCAGGTCTTCCTGATTCCATGTCTAGCATTCTTCTTTAGTTTAAAAAAAAAAGAAGAAGAAAGAAAAAAGCTTTGACCATTAGGTAAGGAGAGATTTGAGTCCCTTTATTAGATTACTTTAGTCTATCTGTCATCAGCCGTTTATACCAACAGTAGTCAAGAAGAGCCTGAAAGCAGGCTTTGAAAGAGAGAAGACCAAGAGAGCGCCATTGGCCTAAGAGGGAGCATCTGGAAGAAGGGGCCGACTGAAGGACAGAGAGATTTCAGGGGCCAAACACAGGCTTGACTGGCTTCACGCTTCTGCCAGTCCTGACTCCAGTAATTTTTTCCACTGTAGTGGAAGACAGCATCTGCTTGGCTCTGTTCCCTTGGAACAATATTCCACGCCCACTCCCTCCAAATCCTGTACTTTCTCACCCTTTTCCCAGGTGTTCTTCTGAATGAGACCCTGAAGAATTCATCATGGAAGGCTGCTCTTTTCCTGCCCTGAATTCTGCAGAGGCGTAGCAATCCCTTTTTCTTTTTTCCCCTTTGATTCCCCCAATTGGCACTGCATTGAACCAGACCTAAGGGGAGGCTGCCTGACTGAGACTCGCTTTTTGGCCAGTTGTGGGTCATCCGTGGCCTGTCTCCCAAAGAAGACACTGTCTATAGATGGTCACAAAAGAAGAAAACGTTTCCTGCCTCTCCCCTCACTACCACAGAAAATGATTTGTCTTAAGACCATGAAACTCCCTGAGTGTGAATTGGGACACACCAAAGAGGAAATATGGAAATAAGACCAAAAAACCTTTCCCGGCATGTGCCATCATGCACTGGAGGGAGGGATGGGAGGTGACTGTTTGTTCTTCTTGTCTTGAAAAGAATGGCCTCAGCTGATTTCAGCTTGGGTGTCACTCAAGGAGCTCAGCCAGCTAGAGAGTTAGGGAAGGGCTATGAAACCCCAAAGACAAACTTGAACAACTTCATAAGTATCACAGGCTGACCCTGCCTGTGCTATCTTGTCTGGGAGGTGGTGGGCAAATAACCAAGACTGTACTGAGGGAAGGGAGGAGGAGGACAGGGAAAGGAGAGTCCTTTACCAAAGAGTTTAAGAGAGGAAAGAATAAGTTTACAGTAGAAAAGATCAGGGACAATCCCATAATTGGGGCAGAAGTTGATTAGAGATTCATCTTTTTTTTCCCCCTCATCTCTCTCTCTCCCATTAAGGAAGTTTTCAGCATGACTGCAGGAATCTTCAGGGTCTGCCTAGTGGTGGTCACTGCCATCATCAATCATCCAATCCTGTTTCCTTGGGAGAATGCCACAATCCCAGAAAACGAGGAAGAAATCATCCACAAGATGAGGGCGCACCAGGAGAAGCTGCAGCTGGAACAGCTGCGGCTGGAAGCGGAGCTGGCCAGACTGGAGGAAGAGAAGGAGCCCCCGAAGCAAGCTGCTGAGGATGGCCAGCAGCAGAATGAAGGCCGGTTGGCCTGGGACCTGTGGAGTACCCTCTGCATGATCATTTTCCTGATGATTGAGTTGTGGAGGCAGGACTACCTGGATGGCATCCCTCCTGACTCTCCTGGAGAGGAAGACGACCTTCACAGTCCGAGGATCACCTTTCAAGGCATCAGCCTCCCTGATAAGGTGACGCTCTCCCACTTTTATGAGCGATGCATCCGAGGGACTACTGGAGATGCCGTCCGGACTCGGGAGTTCGTGGAAGGCTTTGTGGATGACCTCCTGGAGGCGCTGAGGAGTGTGTGCAACCGGGACGCTGACATGGAGGTCGAAGATTTCATTGGTGTGGGGAGCGCGTACGAGAACTGGAGAGTGGACAAGCCAGTGCTGTGCGACCTCTTCGTGCCTTTCACACCCCCGGAGCCTTATCGCTTCCGCCCAGAGGTCTGGTGTGCCAGCAAGTCAGTCCCCTTGGACCTCCGGGGTTACGGCCAGATCCGGGTAGGCTGGGTCAATGAGGGCTCTGCAAACTGCATCTGTGGCAAGGCCAAGCTGGGGGAGGACTTGCTCTGCCTCCTGCACAGTAAGGACAACAAGATTCGGCCCAGCAGCGAGAGGGAAGACCTGCTGTGCTTCAAGGACTCTCCATTCTTGGATATGGACCAGGTCATGAAGTGGTTCCAGACGGCCCTCACCAGAGCCTGGCAGCGCATCTCCCGCAAGTACGAGTTCGACCTGGCCTTTGGCCACCTGGATACCCCGGGATCCCTGAAGATCAAGTTTCGTTCGGGGAAGTTCATCCCCTTCAACCTCATCCCAGTGGTTCAGTGTGAGGATTCGGATCTATACTTTGTCTCTCACTTTCCCAGGGGCCGTCCTGTGGGGGCCCCGGCCTCCAGCACGCACTGGTTCCTCTCCTTTGCCGTCTATGAGAGACACTTTCTTAAGATGATCACCAAGGCATTGCCAGAAAACGCCTGTCACCTCAGCTGCCTCCAGATCGCCTCCTTTCTGCTAACAAAGCAAAACCGCTTGACAGGCATCAGTGGTCTCAGCAGCTATCACCTAAAGACAGCGTTGCTTCACTTGCTGCTGGCCCAGCCAGCTTCTGACTGGAGGTCCGAGCACCTGGAATCCCGCCTGAATGACCTGCTCTGCTTCCTGGAGAAGAGCCTTCTAGAAAAGAAGCTCTACCACTTCTTCGTGGGCAACCAGAAGGTGCCCGACACCATGGGCATCCCTGAGGTCTTCAGACAGGCAGAGCCCTTAAACCTCTTCTGTCCCTTTGTCCTTCAGCGAAGCCTCTATCAGAAAACAGTAGATTCCTTCTATGAGATGTTGAAGAATGCTTCTACCCTCATCAGCGAGTACTCCTTGCATATCCCTGCTGACCACTCCAGCTCACTCCAGAAACGGACTCTCTCTTAGGGTAGCAGGAAGGCAAGGACCAAGGTCAGGGGGCATAAAACATTCCTCTCCCAGGTCCCAGGCCTTCAGAATCACTTGGAAACCCAGACCTGAGAAGGGCAGACTTTTTTTGGAGTTGGTACTCATGCTCTGGAGGAAGCCAGTGGCCTTTAAGAGCAGAGAATGTGGGACTTGGGGACCCCAAAGGCAACAGCTCGACTGCTTTTATACCACTTTAGCTGGTTGGTGATTGATGGTTCCATTTACTTTAGGAATCATTCCTTTTTAAGCTCTGTTTGATTTCTCTCTCCTTTTCCTTCCTCCCCTTCAATCACTATGGAGTTGGTGTTCTACAGCAGGGAAGTGAGGAACAGTTCCAAGCTTCTCGACTTGGGTGTAATCTTTTCTTTTTCTTTCTTTCTTTTTTTCTTTTTTTTTTTTTTACATCAGGTCCACAATCTCTACTTGAATAGCTTTGCTTTAAGGAAAGCAGAGCAGGGAGTCTCAGGAAATGACAAGGAGAGCACAAACGGCAGATGTTGAAAGAAGCACCTAGCTTTTCTTAAAACTTACTAGGTCCTTCCTTTGGCTGTGGGCTCCTGCAACCAGAAGTACCACCTGCATCCTCATGTTAGAATTTCCAGACTCAGCCTCACATCCTATGTAGCCATCATGGCTACTATTTATATAAAAACAGAAAAGAAGGATAATGGGGATGCAAGGCAGTGGTAAGCTGATGCCTCAGCTACATGGAGCATGTATAAAGATTGAAATGAAGCAGGTTCCTCCAGCATCCACTGAGCTACTCCCTTGCCCCAGCTTCATGGTATACCAGCTCCTCAGAGCACAAAAGCTCACCTGTGTGGGTTCCGGCTTCCCCTTCACTCTGCCCTTTCTCTCACCTGTCCCTTTTCTGTGGTGGCCGCTAAGCTGGCATTCTTGCTAGTAGAATAATGGGGCATATATAATAAAGTGGGGTTGGGGTATGGATTCTAGGTAAGTATTAAAAGGGGAGGGTGCGGGAAGAAGCTGAGATTACAGAAAGATATTTTGGAGGTGGGGTGGAGGAGAGAATACCAAGGGCTAATTTCAGAGCCTGATGGTTACTGTGAAGAAAGTATCCACTCCCTACAACATTTTTGGTGCTAAGACCCATCTGTTCTCGTAGTTTGGCCCCAGAGTCTACCTTTCCTAATCCTTTGTGTGTCATGACTCTGAAGTCCCAGAACTGAGGAAAGCATATGAAATGATCAGCGAGAGAACCATGGGCAGCAGAAGAAGCAGTCCTATGGGTTTTCATAGGACAAACACCTAGAAGGGCTCTGAAGAAGCCCAGGAAGGCTCCTTGTCAACCTACATAGAACCTTCTGGCTGAGCTTCTGCAAGATGCTTAAATGTGCATTACGGAATCCATCCCTGCCTGCATTTTACTATATGAGTGACTCAGAAGCAAAACCACAAATGTCTCAGAAAAAAAAAAAAAGAAGCAGAGCCTTCCCATGTCCCCAGCCAGCAGCCTACCAGCCATTGTCAGAACACTGCAATAACTTAGCAAGTTTTGCCCCAAATGTATTTGATCTGAACCACAGGTGATGGAGGACTTGGGCATGGGAAAGGCAGTTCATAAAGGAATGGACTATAGAAGTTCTCTAGCATTGAAGCCTGGCATAGGTGGCACCAGCCCGTGGTAATTTTCACTTGTACCCACTGGTATTTGGCAGTACCTTCCTCCATGCAAATGAAGCCAGAAAGAAAGGGGTTGGGGGAGGGAGGAAAGAAGTTGAACAATTACCTTGGTACAGTTTCTCTCCCAACTCTACACCCTTCCCTGCCCTAGCAATACAGAGTTACTGAATAACTCATCTATTGATCTTTAGGGGTGGGATCCCTGTCATGCCTGAGCAAAAGAAATAATTTCCCCATCTACCTCTTTCTGACTCTTGATAAAAGCCACTCTCCTCCCAGGGATTCTTGACAGTTTGCTAAATGAAAAGTAATTATTAGAAAGGGAATCCTGAATGGTGAAGGCTCTGGCTAGGGGTAGTTTAAAAAAAAAAACTTAAAAAAAAACCCCAAACCTTAAAACTAGCTTCTAGTCCATGTAGGTTACTGATAACACAGGGTACTAACTTATCCCTACCTATCAAGGCAGTACAATTGAGTGAAAGTGACTTCCTGGAGGCAGGAGAAAAGTTTCCTCTCTGCACTGATTCTTGTTTCCCACAGGGATATGCAGCTATCCCTCCTTGTGCCATCCAGGTGTCATAGCCCAACCCTCTAAAGCACTTGGTGGTGGTAGCTGCTGAACCATGGGTGGTCAGTTGCCTTATTTATTGCAGTCTTTTTCTTTTCAAACCCCTATTCTGGACTCATCTGATGCTCTTTGAAGAGACTACAGAGATCAGGGACCAAATGAAGTCCAAGACCCAACCCAAACCCCATTGACTTTCCTCTTTGATTCCATGGAATATTTTGCTAAGGAATATACTCTGCCTTTTTTTTTTTTTATTTTTAAGACAAATCCTAACAGGGCGAAAGGGATCTCTTTTTTTATCCAAATACTGCTTCTAAAGCAGAATGTTGTTGAAGTTTTTGTCTGCACTCGGTATTTTTATGCCGCCTTATTTATATTAAAGAGTTAAATCTTGTAAAAAGTGGATATGTCGGTGGTTATTTATAGCCTTGGGAAATCTCATGGGCCTCAGAGGGTAGTGTTGGATGGGGGAGGGCTGTGAATTTCCTATTGACACAGGGAAGCTTTCACTCCCTTTATACGCATTCAGGAAGCATTAAAAAAATATGTATTTCTGGCTGGTCTTTGAAGCAGGCAGAGTGCTTGTGATCTGTCTGCTATAGTGGAGAAAAGAGCCTTGTGAAAAAGAGTATCGGCATGTGGCTGCCTTGCAAATTGTTCCTCCATGGTGGTAAGCGTTGGCCCTAGAAGCAATGGAAGATTTGGAGGAGCTTTTAAATGGAAGTGTTCTGGCCCTCCGGCATTTGACTCCGATAATGGCACAAGCATTCCTGTTACCCCCTTGGGAGTTGCCTGCTTCTTCCCAGGAACGTCCTGTCCTCTGCATCACTACCTCTTCCAGCATTTTCTGTGCCCTGTGTGGGACTATCATTCCTTCCCCCTGCCCCACTCCCACAAAGGATGACAATGCCAGCCCTGGTCAAAATCATGGCAGGTAAAACTATAGAATCATAAAACGAAAGGCCCTAGAGGACCCTTGGCTCTCATCTAGTGCAGTTGTTCTACTCATTTCTCAGACTGATCAATCCAAGAATCTCAGAGAGATTAAGGCTCAAAGAGTTTAGTATCCAAAGCTCTCTCATTTCCCTTTCCTGCATTCTTTCCTCCTATTTTGCTTCCTTTTATCGCCTCAACACCAAGTGCCCTCCTACCACTACTCTAGCATCTCTCAATTGGGAGAAAAGCCTCTGATAAACTTATTCAGCATGTAGGTGATGGGCTAGGGAATTCTTGAAGTTCGATTTACATCTTAAAAAGAACTGGACAAAGATCCAAGTCCAGTGGAATGAGCTTCTAATGATGGAATTTTCAGCATCCTAGGTGGGTGGGATTTGGACCAGTTTAAGTTTTAGGATGTTGGAAATTCTACTCTTAGATCTGAGGGTGGCAGAGATACATGTGGGAGCAAAAGGCCCTTCCCAGAATCCCTCAAATCATAACATTTGTAGGAAGTGTCCTAATTGACCTATATCTAAAGGCTTGTTGTGGGAATTAGAACAGGAACTTGCAGAGCAAGATTTGGGTTCTGTTTGCAGCTGCAGTCACAACCATCTTGTAATAAGAGATGCATTCAATAGCAAGAGACCAGTACTTGTGAGGATCCACGTGGGATGAATGCTTCACAGTTTGCCAAGCACTTTATGCACATCATCCCATTCAAGTCACCCAACACGACCTGGGGTTACCATCCCCATTTTACAGATGAAGAAACTGAAGCTCGGAGAGGTGAGATAACTTTCCTGTGGTCACGTTGCTAGTATCAGAAGTTGGCTTTGAGTCCAGGTCTTCGAGACTCAAAGGCAAGCATTCTACTCACTGTTCCATGTGGCTTAACAGAATTATGTGACTCAATGACATCTAAAAAGCCAAACAAATTTGAGAGGTCCTGTTGGACGTCTTTTCAGGAAATTGCAGGCTATGTTGTTAGCGTACAGATGGAAGGGGAAGGCGACAATAAGACCAGTCTTAAGATGGCCGAGTGCCTCAGAAGGAATCCCAAACTCAGGATTGAGAGCTAGGAGAGGTCCTAGAATGCATTTTAGAATAGAAGTGATTTCTCCAAAGTTATACAAGTAGTCTGCTTCAGAGACAGGATTCAAGCTCAGATCCTCTGAGTTCAAGCCTTCCAAATTCAATACTTTTTCCAACCCACTCCTGCCATCTTTGAGGAGATGGGGGATGGGGGTGGGTTAAAATTAAGTGTCTGCGTGTATAATAATTATAATCCACAGAGAGGGGCCAATGGAATCTGTTGAAATCTGTATACCCGGCTTTGCTAATGGGATCCTAGATATAAAGAAGAAAGGCTCAGCTCACAATTCACAGGAAATCTACCTGGCTTTAATTTGGTGATATTAAACTAAAGATGTAGTGAGGACATATGTCACCCTTTAACAGACAATGGGTATCTTTTTATACTGATTCTGGGACATGTCAGATGCATGAGATCCAACTAGGAGATCTGCTAGTACTGCGTGCTAACTTCTTCTTGTTCGGTCATTTCAATCATTTCTTTGACTGCGCTTGGGGTTTTCTTGGCAAAGCTACTGGAGGAGTTTGCCATTTCCCTCTCCAACTCATTTTACAGATGAGCAAACAGGCCAACAGGATTAAGTGACTTGTCCAGGGTCACACAATTAGTAAGTGTCTGAGGCCAGATTTGAACTCAGGTCTTCCTGACTCCTAACCAATGAGCCTAGCTGCATGCTAACCTGACTAGCTCCCAAATATTGATTTATAATTAAGGATTAGAACTGGATCTATTGCTTCATTGGTAGAACTTCCAAGCAACTTATAATCTTGGAGTTGCCTAGAGCAGAGGTATCAAACATGGTCCACAACACTCTTGAGTACAGCCTGAACTAGATTAAAATATAATTGGAAAATACTTAGCAAAATGTATAAAAATACAATAAAACATAGATAATATTAACATGTTTCTAAGTCAATATGTGGCCCATAGGGATCCTTATGTACAGCTTAGTGGCATTTCTATTTGAGTTTGACACCACAGGCCTAGAGTGTTGAGAGGTTAGGTGACTTGGAAGGGTCATGTAGTGAGAATGTATCAAAGGCAAGACTTGAACCCAGGTCTTCCAGGCTAGCTTGATATCCACTTCTCTAGGGAACCTCCTCTCTAGTCTCCTCAAAAGCCTCCTCACCATTTTGTGTTTGCAAATTATTATCTCATTTTATCCTCACGACAGCCCTGGAAGGAAGGTGCTATTATTATCTCCATTTGATAGATCTGAAACCTGAGGCTGGGAGAGGCTAATGTCACAGGGTCACACAGCTAGTAAGTTTCTTGAGGCAGGATTTTAACTCGGGTCTTCCTAACTCCAGGTCCAGGGCTCTACCCCCATGCTACCTAGCAGCTTCTGCCTTTAATAAGCCCCCTTTAATTTTGCCACTCATGAGCTATGGTTCTAGTTCTATTTCCATGGAAGTACAAGGACACTCTCACGGTCTTTCAGAAGAACTTTGAATGGAAAGTGTGACTTGGGAGACACTGGCTAAGGGCCACCTAGCATGGCAAGCCCTCATCAAAGAAGGCGCTGTGCTCTGTGAGCAAAGCAGAATTGCAGTAGCTCAAAAGAAACACAAGATGTGCAAATTTAGGGACATCTCCACCCTGAATGTTCATATGGAGTATTTGTACCTGACCTACGGTAGAGCTTCCTGAACTCATATTGGTCTGATCAGCCACAGTCGAATGCACTGTAACTTGGCCCCAACATAGTGATGTCATTTTGGGTCATCTTTGAGAATGAAGGACAACAACCAGCCAACCAACCCCTTGGGATAAAAAGTTCCATAGATATGCCTTTCACTATGGAAAGTAAAACTGCCTTAACCCAATCACCAAGACCCCTAGTCAAAAGTAAAGACTTATTTGTCCTAAGCACTTGCTACACTCTCCTTTGTGTTGCAGTCTTATCACTAGGGCAGCTAGGTGGCACAGTGGATAGAGTGCTGGGCCTGTAGTCAGGAAAACTCTAAATTCAAATCTGGCGCTTTGTGACTCTAGGCAAGTCACTTAACCCAGTTTGCCTTAGTTTCCTCATCTGTAAAATGAACCTGAGAAGGAAATGGCAAATCACTCTGGTATCTTTGCCAAGAAAACCCTCAAAAAGGGGTCATGAAAAATTGGACACGACTCAACAATAACAACAACTGGTCACTGTCTACTAGAATACAAGCTCCTTGGGAGCAGGCACTCTATCTTCTTTATTTGCATTGGTCCCATACCTTCCAGTAAATGCACTGCACATAATGGATGAATAATAAATATTTCTTTCATGTTGATTGAGTGAATTTGTCCTAAACTTACCTCCTTCAGGCCCCCAAAGGAGACCCTGGTTCTAGGATTCCTCAAAGGGATTCCTCAAAGCCTGTGTCCAACATGCCTTCAGTTTTCTCATCTCTAAAATGGGCTTGAATCTCTAAGGTCCCTTCTAGCTCTAAATCCTATGAACCCATGAACATGCATGATTCCTATTCGCAGGCCTTTTTCAGGTCCAGGTTTGTCTCCCTCCAACATGTGAGGACTTAGATATACCATCCCAGAAATTTTTGAAGCAAATGTAAAGACCTTAAATTATTATATTCTATTCGCCACACAGAGTGCCAGCACCCAGGACCAGCCTTGTTCCCTAGGGAGAATATACTGACCCCATTTAAAATGCTGGTGTTTTTAAGTGAAATGGGCATTTTCTACACTGTTGATGATTAACACCAGCTTCACAAAGGAAAGATGAAAATAAGACTGTCAAAGAGAAGCACAACAAAAGATCTCACAGCAAGACCAAAACAAATAATAAACCTTAGAGACCCACGCTCAAAGATGTTCCTACAATTACGTGCCTGCATGAAAAGGCAGCTCTTAAGTAGATAAGGCAAGATTTTCAGGAGAAAGGGGTTAGGGAGGAGGGAGGTGTCAAGAATTTGGGGATTTTCGTTCTGAGCACAGTGGTTTCTTAAAAGTCAACTGTGGAATTAAATTCTATCTTGTTCTTCATGCCACCTTCTAAAATCTGTCCTTTAAAAGCAAAACCAGGATCTGGTTCCTGCCTCTGAGGAGGCTTTTGTTTTCATCTCATAAAACCCTCAGCCTCATCACTTGGGCTTGTCTTCCCATTCAGCCGTAGGCTGGAGGACCTGGGGTGCTGAGAAGAAGATGACTCATGTAGCCTCCCTGACTGAGATCTGCCATTCATCCTTTCCTACAGGACTAGGCAAGGCTGGGCAAGGCTCAGTCTGAAAAGCTCCTGGGAAACTGAGTGAATTCAAGGGCTGACTCGAAGCCACAGGTCTCCTTTAGGTGAAGTCAGAGGGTTGGACATAAATGAACCCCTGAAGAATCAGAGATCTTCAAGTCAGCCTGTAAATGGTTCAACCAGA